TGTATTATTTTATGGATAGGAATCCATCTTAAATATCTATTTTTCCATCTGCATTACATGGATTATAATAATTCAGAGTTGAGCAGAAATTTAATATCATCATCATCATCATCATCATCATCATCATCATCATCATCATCAGTCTTCCAAAGTGGTTAAAAGGATCTGGCATCTAGTAAACATGGTTTATTTGTTGGGTATAATGTTATTTCTTATTCAGGGTCTTATTAATGCAGTACTGTATAGCCACAGTTATATCGCCACAGTTATATTGATTCATTGTTTATTATGTACTTAGTTTCTCACCAAGGCTTATAAGCGTCTCCAACCAAAAATGACTCTGAGAAGATCAAATTCCTTTCTGGCCATGACTCCACTTGATCTTCCAAGCTGTGAGTCCAAGGTAACCTGCTCTGCGAGCTGCACTGGCTCCCAATCGGTCTCCGAACACGCTTCAAGGTGCTGGTCATTACCTTTAAAACCCTGCATGGCTTAGGGCCTGGATATCTACGGGACCGTCTTCTGCCACATACCTCCCAATGACTGATAAGATCTCACAGAGTGGGCCTTCTCCGGGTGCCATCAACTAGACAATGTCATTTGGTGGCTCCTCGGGGGAGAGCCTTCTCTGCAGCTGCTCTGGCCCTATGGAATGATCTACCCCCAGAGATCCGGACCCTCCCCACTCTTGCGGCCTTCAAAAAGTCTATTATGACCTGGCTTTTCTGGCAGGCCTGGGGCTGTTGACCTCTTGAATGAGGTCCAGCCCCACTACGGTTGAGTGTGTTGTGCTTTTAACCTGCTTTGTTTTCTTACTTTTAAACTTTTTAGTACTTTTTAAATTGTCTTTTATGTAAGCCGCCCGGAGTCCTTCGGGATTGGGCGGCATATACGTTTATTAAACTTCAAACTTCAAACCTCTGCATGGGAGCTTATCTATGAAAGATGGGATTCTACTGTGATCCAATGACTTCTATAATGAAGGTCTTGCTGGAATTGACTGTAAACCTCACCCACCAAGGTTCTTATGGTCTCCTGTTTAGGTCTCTTGGAATGGACATGCACAGTATAACCTGATATTACTGGCATATATCCAGCGTGTATACTGGATACTCACCTCATCTTGATGGATGATCTTTGTCAGTGACTTCATGTAAATATTAACCTGGAGAGGGAAAGCTGCCAAGGCCTGTCAAACATGTCATAATGAGCAGACCAAGAAGAACCATTGGAAGCAATATATCTCATATGCAATCCTTATAGGCAGCCCAGAAGGGACAATGATACGAAAGGCCACTAAATATCATAATTCTCTCTAGGTCAAAGGGAAATAGAAAACTGGTAAAATTAACTTGCTAGTGCAATTTTATCCAGCACAGTCTACAACAAAATCTCTGGAATGTTTCATCCATGTGTCCTCAGTCATTAGATATCCACAATGTCCAATCATCAATCTTGTTAATCCCACTTGTGAAATGAAATTCTTCTTCTTCTTATGAAACGTGTGCTAATATGACAGACTATAGCTCTACTTACTAGTCCAATTACCTCCACCAGACTGATTAGATCCCACAGACTAGGCCTCCT